TTTATTGAGCCCTTGTTTGGAGGACATTTTTTGGAAGAAGAAAATTCATTTTTGGACCCTTTTTTGGTCACCTCGGCCCTACATGAGAGTGTACTGGTAAAAAAAAAAAATGACTGTAAATCATGCTAACGATAGAAAAATGAATTTTTTGGCCCAAAAAATGTCCTCCAAACACCCTCTGAGAGCACTGTGAATAATACAAATCAATTTGATAAATCAAACAAAGGAGAAGAGCTAAGAGGAGGAGGAAGAAAAGTGATGTAGGAGCATCCAAAAATTAGGGTAAACAATGAATCAAATAAGTATATATATTACAAGGAAACCTATAATAATAAGGAAACTAAATATTATGCTAAATATATATTATTATATATATTATCATCCCACTCAAACTCAAGATACAAAAGCAAGAAGTAGCGAAAGTTTATCACGCAAGAAGTGAAAACGATGAATCGAATGAGACTTAGTGAGTTAGCAAGCTGCAATGATGAAGAAACAAAAGGTAGGAAAATTGTGCTAATCTACAGATGATGACGAATCAGATGACAATCAATTTCAATATGTTTCGTGCACTCATAGAACACAGAGTTGTAAGAGATCTGAATAGCACTTGTATTATCACAATACATAGGGGTTGGGAAAGAATGAGGAACACCCATGTCTATAAGTAACCATCGTAATCACACAGTCTTAGTGATAGTGGATGTCATGGCTCGATACTTCAACCTCAGTATGTAAATGAAAAACAAACAACAATCTACTTCTCACTTTTCCAAGATATAAAAGAATCACCTAAAAATATACAAAATCCAGTAGTGGACTTGCGATCAATGGGGTTACCGGCCCAATCAACATCAAAGTATGCACAGAGCACTAAAGAGGAGGTTGATGGAAATAAAATATTCTAAAAGCAAGTATCACGAAGATAGCACAAAATACGAACAACAGATATCCAATAAATTGTAGTAGGAATTGAAACAAATTGACTAACAATGTGATTAGTATAAGCAATATCAAGACATGTGATGGTAAGATAAATCAGACAGCCAATAATGGTGCGATACAAATAGAGATCGGTCAAGGGTACACCGTCAGAGAGTGAATATCAAGCGTTGGACTCAAGTGGGGGTATCAACATACTTAGTATCATTAAGACAAGCATGCTCAATAACATTCATAATATACTTGGATTGGGATAGAAGTTAACTTCCAGGAGAAAAAGCAACGTCGTTCTCTAAAAAATATGATAATGCACCTAAGTCATTCATTTCAAAATGACTAGCCACTTCTGATTTCAAATACGTAATCCTATCAACATCATCACCAGTAATAATCATATCATCAACAAACGGCAAAAGGAGAATGCGACTAGTTGAAGTGCATCTAAAAAATAAGGTAGAGTCATGATGACTAGATGTAAAATCAAGAGAGGTAATAATTGTGAAAAAAATGTTAAACCAAGCACGAGGTGCTTGTTTAAGATCATAAAGTGTCTTCTTGAGCTTGCAAACAAATTTAGGAGAGTGAGAAAGACTAGAAGGAGAAGCCATCTTGGCAATAAGAGCAAAAGTCTCCTCATAATACAAATCACACTGTTGGTTAAAACCTTTAGCAACCAATCTAGCTTCACTCAACTAAACCATTAGATTTGGTTTTAATCTTATTAACCCAAAGATAGCCAATAGCATGTTTACTTGAAAGCAATGCAATCAAGTCCCAAGTGTCTATCTTATGCAAAGCAGAGAGTTCATCAATCATAGCTTGTTACCGAAGAGGATCTAGAATGGCTTCTTTATAGAAAGATGGTTCGGATAACTTATGAATGGAGGTTAGAAAGCAACAAAAACACTCAGAATAACAAGAATGGTTATCAAAAAAGACTAAATTAGCAGTAATCCACTTAAAAGTCTTCCAATTAGATAAAGCATCTAGACGCACATCATCTTGCTTTCTTACCTAAATTGGGGGTGGATAAATCTAAGGTTAGAGAATTAGTCATAAACAAGATAAGAAGTTTAGATTAGCTGATCGTGGTATTCCTCGCACGGGAATGCATGTTTAGCTCATGTTTGTCCGCCATTAAAGTAAGAAATGAGTTTTGAAATAATGAATTTTTGAAGAATGCATGTTTAAAAAATAGAAAAAATTTTGAAGTTATGTACAAAATATTTTATTGTGAGAATGTGGTTGAAAATGAATTTGAAATAAAAAAGTTTAAAAATAATGATAGACAAACAGGGGCTTAATTTGTAATAATGTAGATAAAATTTTAACATCTTCATCTTCCCAATCATGTTCAATGGTTTTAAATACATCAAGCTTAACAAAATTTTGAAGGTAACTGTTACAACAGTGGACGCTATTTAGAGCATTTTCAAGATCCTCTATTTTTCAAATGAATATTTTCAATTTAAAGAACATCCCTAAATTAAAAGAGTAAAATTTTGAAATACTCCAACAATTTCTTTGTCGTTAGAGAGTAAAAATTTTATTACTCTCAATGTGCATTTATTATTTTTCCTATCTTTTTTTTTTTTACCAACTTTTTCTCTAAATTATTATATTATTTTCTTCCATTCTCTTTGTATATACTATTTTAGATGGGTCAATACATGGAGCATTGAAAATTAGAATATTTTGAATGTATTTAATTGTAAAGAGTGCTTGGTTCTTCGGATTCGGAAAATCAAACTCAATGTCTATTTTCAATTGTTAATTTGAAGAGTTTCTTGAAACTTAATTATAAGGATAGACTTTCTAAAATGGAGAGCGTTTCACTTTTAAAGAACCTCTTGGAGATGTAGTTAAAAATAAGAAAAAAGTTAAAATATAATCAATTACACTAACATAATAAAGTCGTGCTGCACTTACAAAAAGGCGTAGAATTTTTTCAGACAACTCACAGTGGATGTTGGTGAGTGATATTTTTTGGCATTTTTTTATCATGCCCACACATGTTTCTGTTCTGACAGAATGACAGAATTCCGTGAACTGGATACAAAAGGAAATTTCCATCATAATATTAGGAGAGTTGATTTTTGTCAACCATCGAAACCATTTTCTTCTACTTATGTGTTTAAAATGTCGTGTCTGATCAAAGTTTTACTTTTTCAAGTAAAATCTCAAATAAAGTTAATGAAGCTTCTTCCTTCGCTTCCAAGTCACTGGAACCAAATTCTGGTGTTTTGGCAGTTATGCACTTTTACCTTTTGTAAATAAAAAAACAATCCCACCACGCGTCTCTGATTCAAACTCAAACTACAGTTTAATCTTATCTAAATTTTAGACAAGTCATTACAGAAGTCAAGTCGTATCCAATAATATAACTATATACTCCTTTGTTTCTTATCTTTATCTATTTAAAGAACATGGTGCCACTTCAAATTTTAACCAAAAGTACTGTCCACTTTTTAACGTAGCAAAAGAACTTTAAGAGATTGTTTGGGAGTCATTTTCTTGTAAAAATGTATTTTTGAACAGTAAATTGATGGGAAATATGTGGTTGAAAAGAATGAAATGTCTTTTATTTATGTGTAATATTATTTTAATAAAGAATGTGCGATTGAAAAGAAGAAAGAGAAAAATATATTTTGAAAAAAAAGGGTACCAAACGGCTCCTAAGTAAGATTCTCTCTAAAATGGGAAAATAAGACTCTCCACTGTGGGTTGAAGAATATGAGTGTTTAAATAAATTCACGTTGATTATTAAACTTGAGACCATGTTTGAACCTCATTTTGAGGGGAGGGGGGGGGGGGGGAAAAAA